AAAGTCCTGATCCCAAGGCTGGAATTGGCATCTTTCTTGTTGGCCTCCAAATCCATGGGGCAAGATTTCAGTTTCTCAGCTCTGTTAAGTCAATTACCAACCATCTATCCATTTTCCATATTCCAAAGTTTGGCTGGAATCTGGCCTTCTGCTGGTTTCTTTCCAGAACTCTTTGCCTTGCTGGATTCATCTATGTTCTTTATTTCTTTAATATCATTTTGGTAAAGTTTAGAGAAGCAATATAAATAAATAAGCATTGCTCATTCGGTCTGTTATGTTTAACCGTGTCCTCCAACTTATCAGTCTTTTCATTTGTAAGTTGTTTGTTATATCCCACATCCTATTAAAATATTCACCTATAGTTTTTTCTTCTCGTTTCCAGTTTTGTTTTTTCACTGATCCCAGTTTATTTTAGTGTGGGGCAAGAATATTGAATCCAAATTTGTTTCTACATAATTGTAGCTTTACCATGAATAAAATAGTCTATCTTTTCCCCAGGATTGCATAGTACTGCTGCTTTTTTCCAAATTTTACACACACACACACACACACACACACACACACATACACACACACACACATGGGTTTGCTTGTAGATTTTCTACTTTATTGTATGAATTTGGCCTTTTTGTGCCAATAGCATCTATCTTAATTAGAACTGATCTGTGATGATCTCAGTATCTATTTTGATATCTTTGCTTTTCAAACTGACTCTTATTTTATCAGGCTCTACAAAATACATCATCTGGAATTTAGTTGAAAAGATTAATGCATAGATGGCCTTGAAGAGAGTTTATATCTTTACAACTTTGAGGTTTGTCATTTGTAAAAATGGCATGCGTCACCATTTACTTGGGTGCTTTATGGCCTTAAATTAGGTTTTACAACATTTTTGTAAACAGTTAGTTACACCAATCCAGGGTAATACACACTTTTTTAATATAATTACAAATAGCCTATTTCCCCATTGTATTTTAAGGAGAGAGAGAGATGGATGGTTAAAAGTGCTCTAAATTTTGTGTGCTGAATTTGGTTACAATAATCTTGATAAGTTCTTTTACTAGTTCCTAAGTGTTTGTAGAGCCTCTTGACCTTTCTGTATGCATAATTACATCATAGCAGATAGAGACATTTTTCTTCTTCCCAATCTCAATGGCTCACTCTTCTCTTTCATAGAAGAAACATTAGTGGTTTTGTCTTTTTAGTAATTGCAATAGAATTGCTTTTAACATTTGATCACAAAGCATGAAAATAAAGCATGATGTGAGCTATATATTTCCAATAAATGTCTCTCCATCTGTTTATAAAGGTTTTCTTCCTAGTTTTCTAAGAATTGTTTCTATAAGTCAGTATTAATTTTACCAAATAGCATCCTTTATCTTTTGAGATGATTTTCTTCTTTTTTGTTTTGTAAACCTTTAAGCTACCAATGTATATTATATCAATAGATTTTGTATTTTGAACAATCTCTGCATTTGTTGTGTTGTTTTCTATACTGTTAGACACAATTTGTTATTTTTTAAAAAATTCTTTTTATTTTATGTGTATAAGTGTTTTGCTTGCATGTATGTAAGTGAACCACATGGATGTAATGCCCACAGAGGCCAGAAGAGGGCATGAGATCCCTTGGAACTGGAGTTGCAGGTGGTTGTTAGCCACCATGTGAGTGCTGGGAACTGAACCCAGGTCCTCTGCAGGAGCAGCCAGTGCTCTTAACTGCTGAGCCATCTCTCCAACCCACTATTTGCTAATTTTTTAACTTCTAGGTCCACAAGTGCAGTTAGTCTAAACTCTATGTACCTCTTGGTCTCACACTCAGTGTGTGTGTGTGTGTGTGTGTGTGTGTGTGTGTGTGTCCAAGCTTTGTGGTCCAATTTTAATATCAAGATTCTAATTCTAATAAGCTTGATTTTATTGTTTTATAATCTTGGGAGTCTGGGAAGATTCCAGTAAAATAGATTTTAAAGTCAGGGCTATGCCTCTTTTCTCATGAACTTCCTTTAGGAAGTAGATTCTTATTTTGAATGAAAAAAGATCATGCTCTGCTTTTACTTTTTCCAAGTCAGCCTACAAACAGCACAGTTGCTACTGACTGATCAGTGGTTCAGAAAATGCTAGGAACAAAAAAAAAGAAAGAAAGAAAGAAAGAAAGAAAGAAAGAAAGAAAGAAAGAAAGAAAGAAAAGAGAGAGAGAAAGAAAGAAAGAAGAAAGAAAGAAAGAAAGAAAGAAAGAAAGAAAGAAAGAAAGAAAGAAAAGAATCTACTTCCTAAGCTCAAGGCCCTGGGTTCAGTCCCTGGCTCCGAGAGAGAAAGAAAGAAAGAAGAAAGAAAGAAAGAAAGAAAGAAAGAAAGAAAGAAAGAAAGAAAGAAAAGAAAATACAGTGAATCATGGAGATATTTCTAAAGGTCTCTTTATATTTATTTCAGTTTATTAGGTAGCTATATCTTGTCATAGACAAGCCATTCTTTATCTGTGATGATCCTACTGGGAAGTATATTACACAGGAATTTCCTATATAAATCCTATGTATTTTTAGTGCTGTTTACAAATGACCTCTGGAAAAAAAAAAAGTACTATGAAAGTGAAATTTCCCACACAGAGATTGGGCAACATGTGTGCATGTGTCTCTCTGTGTGTGTCTGTATGTATTCTAATTCCTTTTTCTTTCTGAAGTTCTGTTTTCTTTTAAAGAGAAATAAAGTACAAGAAATGCGTTGAATTAGCCTTCCAATCTACAGTTCTACAACAATTCTACCTCCGATACAAAAAATAGGCTTCATGGCACCCCATGTGCTGTACTCTGTATATAAAATATCCAGAATTTATCTAGAGAAACATACTTCTTCCTCCCCTCCTTTGGCATAACCCAAAATATTTAGCCATTTATCTTCTTTAAAAAATATGCAAAATGCATGTCCCTTCCATGTCTCCTGTTGGTAATATTTTCCCCATTTGTTGTATGACTTCTCTTTCCTCTGAAAGCTGGCACTAACTTTGTTCATAAACTGAAAACCATTGCCCTGTTGCTGTTCCTACAAAGGCCATTCCTCATGTAAGTGGGGAGAGTGTCACTTAGGAGATCATCTGCACCGGCAACAGAAAGTAGCACTTTCACACAGTCCTCTATGAGTTACGGATGATCCTGCCTTGAGGTCACATGCCCAGAAAAATCTCTGGCCAGAGAGTATATTGTTATCACTGATAAACATATGATTAAGATGTTTTAAGAACTCAATGTCTGCCCTATTAAGTCTTCAAGTCCAGCCTTTTACCAGACTAAGAAGTGTTCATCTGTCTTTATAACAGATTGTCTAGGTATTTGGAATTTCTCAGCTATAAAACTGGCTGTGTCCCAAAATGTTATTTTTTTCCACAAATCATTTATTTGGGATTAGAAAATGTCTTCCCAGAAGAACAATTTTATAGATGGTTTTGTTCACTTATGTCTGGTTGAGTGACACTGAACTTGAAATGCAACATTGACTGTGTAATTCCCACCAACCAGCTATTTATTTTGTGTTTCGGGGAAAGTATGTTCTGAGTTCTGATTCTGTATGCCTAAAGCCCACTTCTTCCCTGGCCCAGTCATCTTTGCTATAGCATTTCGGGGGCTGCATGCTGGCGGGAGGTGGGAAGAGGGTAAGTTTCCTTCTGAGGCATGTAGGGGCATCATATACTTCTGGGTGACTTATTAACATGGAAGGCTGAAGACACTCACCAGCTGTTTCCCAAGTGTTCTCAATGAAGCTGAAAGGGCAGGGATTGTTTTCCCAAATAGAGATCATTTCTACCTCAGATCTTCATGAGTAGAGAAAGGCTTTTTCAATAAAACTTTACATGTTGAAAACTAAGCTTTTGGACCAGTAATTTGCCAGGGAAAATATTTAAAACTTCCTGGTCAGTGATGAAACAGTATCTAAACATATACCAATATGAAACATGGGTTTTGCATCTAGCCCCAGGCCTGACAAATAATAAATACTCCATTTTTTTTTGAGCTAAGTACTAACTGAATGAATTCTGAAAAACACAAGACCACAATTGGATGCATGTGTGGGCCAGTGACCTGCATGTAATTCGGCATCTCTTAATACTGACTCTCCCCTAGCACAGGCTTTCTAGAATTCACTAGAACATCAGTGCCACCTTAGAGGGCATTTACTTCTACCTATACCAGCCCCAAAGCGGATGCTGGGCCTCTTCACTGATGCATATCAATTTCTAGCAAGTTTTAGTACAGTCTTCCCATTTCTAAGACTAGGGTAAGGAAAGGTAGATGGGTGTTGCTATGGAAAACCAATGAAGCTATCCAAACCTTAGGACCCCATCTACTAAGTTTCTGGCACTATTTTTATTTTGGCCAATATTATTTTCTTTAAAAAAGACTGGACTTTAATTTATATGTCTAGTTGTTTTTATAGCACACATAGATATATTTTATATAAGCCTCTTCTGGGTTATAACTCGGCCTGTACAGTGGATCTGGGTCTCGTCGTCCACTTCAGGTTTTCAACCTGCATAACAATTTAAATTCATTTTTTAATGCAACTACTTTGAAAAGAAATATGCTATTAAGGCTTCGTCTACTAAAAAGTTTTCCCCGCCCCCAGCCTCACCCCCCCATAAGCATATCTGTCTTCTTTTTATTTCATCAATTCACTTTCTTTTTAAAGCTCCATTTGTGTTCTACAACCTCTTGCTCCAAGATGAACATTTCTTATGATTGTTCCTGACAATGGATCCACTTCCAGGAGGCCCTGCTTAGGATAACCAAAAAAGGGCATGGAACAGGCTGGTTTTGGCAGCCTGCTCGCAGTTTCAGAGCTTTTTAGGACTTGGTTTTTCTGATGAGTGATTTCCTGAGCATGCCTAGGGAATGACAGGCATCTGCAGAGGCAGAAGGCATCACCTTGGCCGGGGGTGTCGTCATTGGCTGCTTATTAGAAAAACTACAGGACAAAGCATACCACTGCCTGCTGTCTGTAAACATAAGGGATATGTGTTCACTTAGCATGGACTTCTGGGAGGGGCCAAGGAAGGGCGGGCTGCAGTTTTATTGAATAGAGCAGTGTGCATTAGGCTGCCTGCCTGCCTGCTTGCTCGCTTGCTGTGCAGCTTTAAAGAATCCGCGTTTCCTTTCCGAAGGCGTCCTCCTCCTCCTGGGGACGAATTCGCAGCCTGAGAGGTAAGGCACAGGGTCTTTCTTCTCCTGCAACGGAGCTGGAGCGGCTCTGCAGACTTCAGTCAACGTTCCAGACTGAGGTTGCTGGAGATGCAAAATCTTAGGAGACCATGTAAATTCCCAGAGTCAGGCTGGGCTTCCCTGACCTGCGGATGTTCCCAGAAGGTCAACGTGATAAAACTTCAAGTTTTGTTTCTAGAGCTGGGACAAGAAGGAAGATCGTATAGTGCCTTGTGATCAGGGAGCATTGGGGACGTTGGTCAGGATGTACTTTTGTTTCCAAGAGGGATATGGGAATCGTACCTGGACTCCTCAGGCCAGTGTCAGCAAGTGTGCTCTGCTGATCTGTTCCTCGGACAGTTTCCTCTCCATCTTTTACAAACAGACATTTAAAAATGATTTGCTTTAAAATAACAACTTCTTAGGTTGATACATTTTTTTTATTTCCTTAGCTAAATGCATTTCTATGTTCCTCTGCTACTGGGACTTAAGCAGTGGTCAGTCTTTCAGAGTTTCAAGGAAGTAAAGTCAGAGAGTTCTAGCACCAGTTGAGCTAATGTCAATCATCTGGTATTTGCTGAGACAGAAGATGCCTACTGTGGTCTGTTTCCTATAAAACCAAGTAGCAAGAGAATGCATGCACTAGTGGGTGTGTGTTGAGAAATCATAGTTAACTCCCTACCAAAATATTTCTAAAGAAATCTCATTTTCTGTCTGAAAGTGTGTCTGAGCTTGCCGAGAGAGAATCTGAAAAGATGCAAGTTGGAAATGTGTTCCAGAAAGGAAAGAGATGGGTTTCTATTCCCAGACAGACGTATTTGGGCATCTTGAACAGTAGTACAAGGCAGCTAGTTGGTAGTAGTCTGTGATTCCTTTTGGAAAGAGCTGATTGTAAAGGGTGGGGGAGTTTTAGTGCTGTGGTAATACATGGTCAAAAAAGTGGAGGAGAACAAAGCGCTTGGTATTCATACATCCCTTCTGTTAACAAGGCTGTGTGGATGGACTTGTAAACTGAAGCAGTAAAATCCTCTAGTGTGTTTGGCAAAACCAGACATGCATAGCTAGAAGTTAGTGAAAACAAGGCAAAAAAAGAAGGGTAAATCTTGCCATTAAAAAATAATGTGTATTAAAGACTATAAACTCCAAATGACTGATTCAATTGGATTTTATGCCATAGAGTTTGATAGTGTGGGGTTGAGATTCACTAAGTAACCCTTTTTGTATTTAGAAGTGTGGAGACAACTTCTTGAGAATGCCTTTCTGTTTCTAGAAGTGATATAAGAGAAAGGAATGCCCTGTGCATTTCTTTCCCAGGAACAGTTCTAAGTGTGAGAGAAAGGCTACAGGCAAAGGCTATAGTTTGATTATTGTCTTTGCCTCGAAGAGATCAAGTTCCAAACTATTTTCACAATGTTTTTAATGTCAATCAAAATATGGAGAGAAATTTCTTTTTCAAGTGTTCTCTGAACCATGCAGGGAATGCAATTTGGAAGGAAATCTGTAATCTTGGGATTTAGAGATAAATTCCATTGTGAAACCAGCATCTCTGAATCCCTGGAAGTTCAAACTCTCTTTGACCAGTCTCTCCCATTCGCCTCATGTTCTTCCCTTCCCCAAACACTATACAAACACACTTTCTGAAATAACACAGTATGTTCTCCACACACAGAGTGAGAAGATTTGGTTCATGTTGAATTTTAGGCAGTTCTGAGTGCTTCTTCCTCTGTGCTGAGAATTAGTTGGAACACATCTCCCCAAACAGGGGGGTAAAAAAGCTCAATGAAGCCGCAGCGTTGTCACTTTTACTCTACTAAAATCATTTAATGAGAAGCATAAAGGCAAAACTCTGCATCCTAAAATGAATGGATCTTAGAACACAAGAGGAATGTACAATTGATTGGTCTATAGGTTAAGTGCAGGGTCATTTCCATTGTTCAATGTCAATAGACTATGCCATTTAAAAAAAACATAACAGAAGATTGCCTTAAACATAAAATTCTTGTGTTAAAGAGAAGGAAATAGAAATTCAAACTGGAATCAAGGGTTTAAATGAGATACATAAATGTTTTTCTTGACAATTCTCATTGGCTCCTGTGACTGGCCTAAGGCTTTCCTGTTCTCTGCAAATGTAATAGGTTGGTCCTAGGGTATGCCATAGAAAGTTCCAGAGTCTAGCTTGGGTGGTCTCAGTCTTATAGGGCTTTTCTTGAAAACATTACAGTCTTCTCCATTATCATTTTCATGGCAGCATGATTACAGGTTAGCCAGTCTTTAGTGAGAAACAAGTGACTTAGAGATGAGCATGAGAAACCATTCCCAAGTTCCCAGTCTGCCCGGTGTGTGTCACATGGCTTGGAAATGTGGTGGGGCGAGGCCATGGCTGGGGATGTAGGGGGCAGGGGAAATGCTGACAGAGTGGAATGCAAATAGCATGGTAGGACTGAGGAGGAGGTCAGGAAGATGCTGCCAAAAGAATTTTCAAACTTTAAGAAGGCATTTTGGGGGTAAATCTCTCAGAGCCCCCAGATAGCATCATTAGCTTCTGGACTGAAAGTCTTTCATCTGTCAAGCCAATCCAGATGCTCATAGGCTCTGGGAAGCTGGGTAGTTTCAAGGGACACCTTTAGCTTAGGCTTAATTCACAAGCACCAGGATGAGAGCTTGATTCCCTTCTGGGTTCCTCTATTTAAAAATAACCCTGGCCTTTAAGGAAGGTATCAACTCCTTGACCTCACCTGTAATATGGGTATTGGGGTGCTTCTCCACCATCCTATAGCAGTTAAGATGTCCAAATAAGATAACACCTTTGTCCTATTCTCTGTGGCCATAGAGCAGAAACTGCTGTCAGTTGGAATCTTCTGGATGTTACACTAATCCTAGAAGGTAACCATTTCTCACTTAGTTTCCTTGATCATGTCTCTTCCTTCCTCCTGTTTGAGAACCTTCTGACCCCAAGTACTTTCTAGAACCCTGATCATAGAACCTTATGAATGAACACTGATCTATCCCAACCTTATCTAAAGGTTGGCTTTGATGATCAGAGACCAGGAGGATACAAATATTAGGATGTAAAACAAGGGCGATCTGTGGATGTACTACAATATCCAGGAACCAGGAAATGTGAGGAGCCAGGTGAATAGAAGACCAATGACAAAGTGCTGACAACAGACAGGCCTTAGTAAATGAGGCAGCTTCTTTGCCTGCAGCCAAAAGCATGGAATTAATCCCAGCTTGTCAAGCCTGGGCCTTGTAGGCAGGATGAGGTAATCAGTAGCACCTGGCTGGGGTTCCGGTTGCTATTGAGACCAGACTGCCCTAGAAGTTCGCCTCTCACCTATACTACCTTCATTCTTTAGTATTCCCAGCTTTAATGAAAGTCTGGTGGTACCCCCAGCATCCTTACCCCTCAGGTGTCCAACTCACCATCTCCCCCAACTCCTAACTAAACACAGAACTTTCTTCATTTCCAGCACTGGAAAACCACAGGATCTTAGCCCTAGGATGAGGCCCAGATGACAAATGGCAAGTACAGATAGGCTCTAGATAAGGGACAGCCACTTGTTTCAGGCACACAAGAAAAAGCTTAGACAAGTCTTCAGGTAGGGTCTCTTGCAAGGTAGCCCAGCTGCCCAGGAACTCACAAACCTCTTGTGTCAACTTCCCAAGTGAGTGCTGGAATTAAAGGTGTGTGCCCCACACCCAGTTCAGAAGTGTCTTTTCTTGTTTCTCAAACCTGGTAGAAAAAAAAAAAGTGTAAATACATGGGTGCCTCATACAGCTGCCATTCCAAAAAAGGGAGACCGTATCCAGAGAAGAGCTTTTTTACAGAGAGTTTGTGAGGGTTAGAAAAACTGAAGAATTCTTGCTTACAAGTGTATGCCAAGAGATTGCCAAGAGATTAATGCAAGGCTCACTAAGCAGCCGGGGGAATGGTGGAACACTTTTTAAAAAATATTTAAGCAAATTGGGTAGTCTTTGTAAGTGCTCATCTTAATGCATGTTTTTTCTTTCCATTTTTTATTGAAGTACGTGTATAGCAGTGATGGATAGCTTGAAGATAAATTGCTTCTCATTTCCTGAGGGTTCTGGCATTGCTTTGTGAACATGCGGATGCGTCCTTCACTACTAGGAAATCATCTCACTTGGAGAAGAACATATTAAGTAGCAATGCATAATTAGTTCCTTTTAAGCCCACATAGGACATTTCCTCTAGTTTCGCTCAAAATATTTTGTTGAGGAGCTAGACAGACCTCACCTGTGGGCTAAGGACTGGCAGGACCAGGGCAAAGTGCCCACTGGGACAAGGGCTGGTAGGCATCAAAGCTTGGATCAGGAAGGCCAATCGTAGCAAGAATGGGCAGAGTTCAAAAGCTATGTCATGAATTACAGCCAGGTGAGAAAGGAGAAATGGTAAAAGTGAGACGTCAGGCAAAGTTTTAGAAACCAAGCTCTTACCCAGCAAGGGAGTGTCCAGACAGTTGTGAAGTACGGGGGAACATTTGGCTCAGTACTGAGAACATGTTTCAATACTTTGTACTTCAGTACTCAAGCAAAGGGACAGAATTATAAACTGCATGTAGGATAATAAAGGGACAGAACTATGAGGAAATTCAAAACAGGATGAGGATCCAAAGAGGATGGAGTCAGGATCCAGAACAGTGGAGAACACAGGCTCTTCACTGTGTTCCCATTCATGTAAGCTCAGGGGCTCTGTGCATCTGTTCTATGACCTGGGAACTTCTTTCTGTGCTTCTGAGTCAGGTTCTGAGAGAGGAATTTTGATTGGTTCAGGTAACCATTATCTTCATTTGCCAAATCTCTTCACAGAGTAGGTTGCCAAAGGCTCTGGTATATGTGGATATGGTGTGATATGGTGGCCTGAAAGCCACCCTAGCCCTACCGGGATTATCCTTGGGTAGAGAAAAGCCTAGGGAGGGCTAATTGTAGTCATAAGAGAAAATTGGGCAAGGAAGGCAAGTAGCTGCAATGTCCAACAGCTCCTA